AACACCACAAAAAAAGACAACAAAAAGAACAACACACCACCCACCTGCCTGAATACCAAAATAGTTCAAATGTTGTAAGAGTTATGACTAGAAATAGTACTTTACGCTGGGAAAAATATTGTTCCAGTTGAAACTGCAAAAAGAAATTTGGAAAGACCAAATAGCTATACACCTGGTCAGGAGTTTGGAGTTTGTAAGTACCACTGTAAGAAGTGTCCAAGGCCTCCCTTGGAGTGCCACTTAAACACAGAAGTTTCAACCCTGCCATTACTTGACATGATACTCTATTGTTTTCTCTCTTTCTGCAGAGCACACAGCACACAAGTCCACGGCAGCTTACCAATCCACATAGTTCATGCTTTGAGAACTCACCTAAAACAACCAAAGGCTCACATAATGTTAAATGTATCTACAGCCTGAATTTTTATTGCTGAGATAGAACAGGTTTTGTCATGACAGGCGTAAAAGTTTCTGTGTTCTACCTGTCACGCTGGACTGATAAGGAGTTGCTCTGATCTACTGTATGACCTTCACTGAAGAGCCCTAACTCTGAATACAATCTGAATGCACAGGGAAGTTTACATTCCCTACCAATTGCAAACAATGAATCTGTATGCTCACAGTCCTGCATACAAGGATTTTCTTTAAAAAATAATAATTAAAATAAAATAAATATATAAATAAAAAAAAAAAGTAGCTCTGAAAAAAACTTTTTTCTGAGTAACAAGATGGTACATGAACCACTAGTAGAGCTCAGTAGCAAGACAGTCCTGACAGTTACCAATCCGCTTGCCTCTTGCATCAGGCAAGGTTGAGCAGCTCAAGAAGCAAAGAACAAGAAAAAGGTTTTCAAATGCTGGGGCAATAGATTTGTACTGAGCAAAATACACTTGCTCCCACTGCAAGCACAACTCCCACAAGCACAAAATATATTGGCTTCTTTTTTCCCCCCTGCATTCAGCAGTGTGTTTAACCTTGGAGCTGTCAAGCTCCATCATGAATAATGAGCCATGACAACACTTCAAGTGATCCTTGGAGAACAGACCAATTTTTCCTATATGCTGTGCAAGGCAAAATGCTTATAATCCCATGGTACTGTACCTGCTTTGAAAATATACAGTAACGTGGCCATCAAGAGGACACCACAAGCAAATACAGAAAAAAAAATTTAAAAATCACTTATTTCCTGATATTTCAGCACCTACAAACAGAATGAGCAGTAAAACAAGTAATATTCTAATATTTAAAAATATACCAGGGCTGAGATTTGTCTCACTGAATATGCATTTCACTCAACTGTTTCACAGACGAGGAATATCTGCATTTGAAACAACCCATGACAGCTACAGTGTGAAGAGAGAACACCCTGCAGGTTTCACTGCACTGTGCTCAGTGACCTCCAGTAGATGAGCACCAATATGGGACTGGGGGTGGCCTCTGCCCAAGCAACCCCCCAGCACCCTTGGAACAAACATATCTCCTGCTCCATCCCATGGCACTGCAAGAAAGTACAGGAAAAAAACTTAATTATTTGAATGACTGACTGAAGCTCCCCTACAGCAACACCCTAACCATGCCAAGGTAGGACTTCAGAAGGCACAGCACAGGTAACCAAGCAATGGCAAGAACCATGTCTGCTGGGCACCTCTCAAGCCCAACATGAGGAAGACAAGAGCAAATAGATTCACCTAGAGAAAGTAAAAACTAGGAAGAAACAAGCTGAAGATTTAAACAGATATTCCTTTGTCTTTTAAACAAAAAATGGAAGGTTGTAGTAGCAAAAAGCCCTTAAAAAATCATCACTTGTTCAGGAATCATCACTCTAAGACCAAAGCGGCATGCATTTGTCCTGTATTTCTGAAAAGGTGAAAACAAATATATCCTTATTCCTGACCTGTTTGCAACAGGGTATTTGTCCATGGTTTTGTGGTGGGAAAAACTTGCCTTTATTTTTGTCATTTCCTAATCTTGTTGCCACAACTGAAAAGATAGTGCATCACTTTCAGCTCTCTGTAGGGGCACCACTTTATCTACAATTGAGTTTCAAAGGTTAGCATAAACTACAGGAGCTCTCAAAAGACTCTGGAGAGCGGGAAAGAAACAATCTTGAACCTGTGATGCTTGTTCTTCCATAAGGTGCAAAGTTTGCAGTGTCGGACAGCAGAAACCAGTCCTGAGCACTTTGAGGAGTACTAACACATCTTCCTCCCACCAAACTGTTGTAAAAAAAACTGAGGCCCTTCCTGCCAGACTAGATGACTCAGAAAGCTGAAATCAGAAAATCTCTTCAACTGTGGTCAAGGCTAGAGAGGAGCCTCTAACAACAAAGCAGTAATTACACATGATAAAGTATTTCTTGACAATTTAATTTTCCACTTGGGAGTCCAGTCACTCATACCCCTCATCCCTCCACCTGCTGGCCTTTCCCCCTACTCACCTCTTCCATGTACAGGGCATTTATCAGCTATTCACATCACACTAGGTCTACCTTTCTCCTAGAGAACTTCCAAATGACCAAGACCCATGTTGTCACCACACACAACACAACCATCAAAATGGTTCTGCTCTTAACAGAGGACTCTCAAAGTCATTCCCCAAATTACAGGGACAGTAGTTTTCTGCATATAGTTAAAATGTCCTTAGCCCTCCATATACACCATGGTGATTTCTCCCATTCCCTGATGATACACTGCCATTTATGCTCCACATCACAGCTCTGCATGTTTAGCAATTCCATTCCCTGCTAGCAATATTTGGCAATAAGAGTATTTTAAAGAAGGCTAATTACAAATTTGACTTGAAAAGAAATTGGTACTGGGCCAATCTGTAAGCTCTTTATCAAGCTTTCAAACTTCACACCAGGGAAGACTGTTCTCCACCAGGAGAAATGACATAGCTCTAAAAGCAAAGGTGGAAATCTTGCCACTGCAAGATGAGGAGAGAAGGTTACAGCTCTGATTCTCCTTGCAGCACTGCACCTTCTCCATGTGACTCCTTGAAAATATGCTGGCCATTTTTCACAAACGAAAAACTAAGAAAGCCAGTTCAGATACCATGAAAATAATGAAAAGCAGTCACCAAAAAATCCTGGAAAGCAGTCACAAAACCCCTCTGTTTCACAGTTGTATCAAAAGAGGAACAAAGATCAGTTATGACAGAAAGCAGGTCAAGGATTCAAAAGCCAGGAATTAATAAAATTAAGGATGCATGGTCACAAGCATACTTGAAGCATGGCATTTTCTAAGAACAACGGTGTCTCAGGATGGACTCCCAGTTTTCAAAGGGATGGAAGAACCCAAGGTGAAGTTTCTCAAGCACTTCATTATCTAGTCATATATCAGGACAAATGTTTTCTGTCTATATATACCAGACTTGGCACAGAAAACAGCAATACCACCAGCGGATGCTCCTCACCACCTTTGTACTGCTGCCACTTTTTCTCTCTGTGTTCACAATACCTGGTGAAATAACATTTCACCAGATCATTTTTCTGAGGGGAATTAATGCAAACATCCTCTGTGCTACCTGCTTGATAACCAAGGTGGAACTGAAAAGGGTAGTTGATAAAGTGATGGTCAACAGAAAGTTGGTCCTGTTTTAAGGGTACAAGACTAGCATCCAGGAAAACTTCACAAGGGCTTTCTGTGCAAGATTCGAGACATCATTTTTCCCTATGGTCAATGACTATGTGGCACCACAAGGAGATGTCACACCTGACACACCGAAATTCTGCTGTCAGAGTGGCTGACTGCCCAGAGAATCCCAGCTGGAATCTGTGGTAACCACGCACACCAAGCACACAGGTGTTGGGAAGTCTCCAACTATGAGCTCAACCCACAGGCACTAGAAAAAGAAGAGTTATGAGTGTTACACGTGTAAAGCTCACACATGAATAATGTCTGTTTGACAGAGATTAAACCCATGAATACCTAAAACATCCTTAGCTTTTAATGTACCTAAAAGTTGTCCCCATTAGGAGATGCCACACTAAAAGAATGACTTGTGACAGTAGCAGACTCTTCTCCTATACACAGGCAAACCTGTAAGAGGCCAACAGAACCACTCTTGCAAAAGGGCTACACACCTACTCCCTACACACTATTAAAACACATTTACATCACCTTGGAAACTTCTTTGAGGGCAGGGGAACAGTCATAGTGCAACTGCAAAGCATCACACATTCATTTGGAAAGGCAAACCATAAGTTCTGACCGCTGCCCAATGTCTAAAAGCTGAGAGTAAAAAAGCAGCAGGAAAGGAGATATCTTTTTTTCAGTCTTATTCTCTGAATTCACGCATATTCGTGCATATTTTACTGACATGTTTGCAGGGTTTTCCAACTGATTACAGATCTAGTGGGAAGAATTTAACCTAGAACCTCAAGACTATCAAAACATGAGCACCTGAACTCAGACTATCAGAGCAGGAAACAAGAAGAAACCTAATATGTGTGTTAATAGATGCTTAATTATTAATGTGCTCACACACAGAGTTTATCAGAAGTGCCAAGGCATTTGAAAGGAAAAGCACTATTCCAAGACCGCTATTTACCAGCAACTCTATCATCACCATATTCTCTAGTTGGTTTTGACTGAATTCAGAGACATCAAGTTAATCCCACAGGACAGTATCATTCACTTTTATAATAGCTACTGACCTTATTTCTGTGTTTGAGCCCTGTTGTAGCGTCATGACTAAATGTGGCAAGCAACAAATCTCACTCTGTCAGCAGCCAGTGCCTGTCCTTTCTCCTTTTAAAGCTTTCATTCATTTCTGCAATTTTTTTAAATTCATGCTGCTTCAAAACAGCTGATCCAGATGGTGGATATTTGGATTTCAACCTTCCCACACGGTGATGTGGCTCAAGAAAATAAAAACTGTTGCTACCTGCTGCTGACCTACTTTAATTTGCTTCCTGCCACACAACAGAATAAAGAACACAGTTCATTGAACTACTCTTTCACACCTTCCCACTGCTATGCAGGAAATATAAAATAAAATTAAGAGAGAAAAGAGAAGCATGATCCAGTGGAGAATAGGGGGGAGCAATTCTCACCTCTATCATAGTCATCTTCCTCTATTGCTTTTTCCTGAAGCCTCTGAAGCCGTAAGATCAAGGATTTTATCTATGCAAAGAAAAAAAGGTTAATTATGAAGAAGCTGCATTTAAAAATATTTAGACTATTAACCTCTACATAATAGCTTACTACATCACTACAATGACCAAATTTTGATAGTTAAGCCCAGTATTTGCTGATTAGCCAGACCTATTTGGAAGTCAGTTGAATTGAAGCTACTTGAGCCAAGCATGGCTTTAGTCCAAACACATACAGGGAATAACAAATGATATTTCTTGAAAAGCAAAGGAGATCATGTGACTGCAGGATATTTTTCACCCTTTGACTAAATCAAAGTAGGATTATTAGAGGATTCTGTCAGCATGACATACACTTCTGTTCACACTGTACTCAACCCTGTGTTCCCGAGCCCACTCCAACAATTTTTTGCCTGAGTTTTGCACAGAATACAAAGTTTCCATATGCAAACCACGTTTTATTCTGTAACTAGAAAGAGAAATGCAGTATGAATATTTTGGAACAGGTACACTCATGTTATGGGTCAGAAGACAGTATTCATATACACCCAATGAAGTTTCATTAAAATACAATTTAGGCTCATCTAAATAATGTTGATGTTTGCATTTACAGCTCACAATGCAAATGCTAGATGAGGAAAAAAGCAGAATGCCAAGAATACCTAAACCACATACAGAGTGCTATCTCACACCCAAAAAGAAAATTCTACCATAATAAAGTTTTATTTCAGAGCTAATGTTTCTCTTTGTTAACATCAAAGAGTGTAAAACTTTAAAGTTCTAAATTTATTAAGAATTTGTAAGGCTAGGTGTACATTCCAAGGCCTTTTCAAGATTTTACTGTAAAAAGAAATTGGTTACAAGGTAGGTTTAGTCCTCTCCTCATTGCCATGCCAGCCATAGCTTAGCATGACTACAGTTACAAGACTGAAATGTGTTTCTCTCTTATTAAATTTATACATAACCGGTACCAAACAAGGCAATATCAGCACTGGAAAAGGTAAGCCTGGAAAAAAAAAGCAGCATATATTCCTAAAGTCCAAAGCCTGAACGTGCTTGGGAAAGCATTTTCTAACACAAGAAAATCCATACTTTAGACATTCTACATTTACAGAATATTTCTCTCCTCCCCGAAACTCTTTCATATTTTATCCCTATAATTAAACTCTAAATTGAATAGAGAAAAATAGGTACAGCCAGTCAACAACTTCATAGAAGCACTCAGTTATTGAGACTACACAATCAACACACAAATTAGACAAGACCTTTAAATTCAGGATAACCCTTCTAAACGTGTTACGTGAAAGGGACTAGTCACAAAAGAACTGTAAAAAATAAAGCCAGAAAAGCATCCAAAAATGGCTGATTAATAATAGCCTATAGGAGGTCCCAGAAGAAAAACAAACAAAAAACATTGTATAAATTCCCATTTCCTCAAGGCTTTATTTTATTTTGGTTTTCACATCCTGAAACTCCAATCTTTTTTCTCTGAGGCTGTTGAGGAACGCATAAGATACTGAAGAGAGGAGCTCTGAATTCTCATCGTAAACTATTTTCTGTATTTTATGCCTGACTTTTGATAGAGCTTTAAAGAACCCTGCAGCAGGAACGATTCAAATGACACTTTTTTTCACGTATATGATGTATAACAACCACCTATACTGCAAGTACAGCTTTGCTGCTGTTTGCAGTGTTTATTCCATCACATGCTACAGCAGCAGGTCATTTAAAATCTGCTTGGGTACCACAGCCCAGGCTCGCCCACGGCAAACTGACTGATGCTGCCACAGTAAAGTGCTTTCTATTTGCAGGCTGGTAAGACATTTCGAGCTCAACTAATAAAAGAGCTGCTTCAGCGGTGGCATGTCCTAAATCTGTACTAAATCATGATCACTTTTTGGTTTTAAGTACAGAGAAAGTATAATTTTAACAATTTCGGTATTATCTCCTTTTCTTGACTACAGTTGCCTTTGTTCCTTTCTGAAAACTTTGAGACTTTCTCATAATCATTACAATAGGAAGGTGCTTCAAATTCAACATACACAACTGGCTAACCAAGGCCAAAGACATCTGAGGGCACAAGTCCCCAGTTCTCCTTTCAGTGAATTAATGAATACAGAAATTAAAGATAGCAATGTTTCATTTGCGCTTATCAAATAAACATACTGAAAAGAAAGAAAAGTAACTTCCTATTTTGATTGTGTTATATATTCCCAAATTTGTAGCAAATAATTTCCTAAAACATCCCAGATCACAGGTGCATTGTCGTTCCAGGCATGAAGCCAAAGAAACTGCTCCATGTCAATGTGTGTGAAGTCTGTAAATAAGAGAACCTAGTTTGAGTTCTACATGCATCCTCTATAGAAAGTATTAGAGAGCATTGCAGGCCCAGGTCAGATGTCACGCAGAAAAAAGCAATAGTAGAAGTTTCTCAACCTTCTGTCTTACCCAGACAGCAGGGCTGTGCTAAGTCTCCCCAGAGCAGGTTGTTTCATCAGGCCTAAAGTCAATACAGTGCATCTCAACAGGTACGTGTCTGAGCTGAGAAGTCACAAGAATCTGAGTTTCTGAAAGGCACTAGTGAGACAATTAAAAAAATCCAACCAACCCAACAGCAAAAACCAAACAAAAAGCCCAGCACACCAGAAAAACCTGACCACCTACTCAGTGCACCTTGAACAAATTAGTGAAATGCATTGTGTCCATATTAATCTCTAGATTACTGCTTCCTGGTTACATAACAAATCTAGTATTTCTTTCCTTTCACCAGGTAAACTCAATTATTTTCCTTCAATGCCCACCCTACCATCCCAAAAACCTCATAACAAAACACAGCTGGTCCTTCTTAAAATTTCCCTACCCTTCTCCCAGAAAGAACACAGTGAATGATTGCCTGTATATGTTGCAGGTATAAATGTGGGTATATACATATATGCAGAAATAAAGACTCCTGACTCACTGCTCACTACTCCTCTGGGATGGAAGGAAAAAAAAAAAAAAAATGTTCAATTCCCAGATGGAGGCAGAGAGGGACTTGACGCCCATTTTTCTTCAAGTGGAGAGAGTACCCATCTATTAAATTACATGCTACTCTCACACAGTTGCCTCACTCCAAGAAATCTCTGGCTAAACTTAAACATTTCCAGTTAAGAAGTTTCACACTGTTAAATCATGATGCTTCAAGAAAAGAGTTATTATCACCCCCAAATTTTGTACTGCATATACTCCAAATGGCAGAAAAAAAAAAGCCACCTATGAAAGAAAATGGTGTTTACTGAATTCAGAAACTGATGTGTGACATTGGAAGTGAGTTTCAGTAGAACATAAAAACAGGGTACTGCAACAACATCACCTTTTTTTTGAAAAACCAAACAAAATCTGTTCTCTCACTTCTTTCATACAGAGCACTACCGTAAAACTTTTTCAGCAAATGCTACAAAAGCCATTAGTATCTGAACTCCAACATAAACTTTGATTTCAGAACTGTAAAAAAAAAATTTTTTTTGAGGGCCAGGGAGAGGAATCAAAAACAAAGTGAGATTACTGACCTTCATTGTACTGCGGTTGCCAAGCAAGCAATCTTGCAGCACTGGTTCATATTTTTTCATCAAAATATCCCAGTTACGGTCATTAACAGTAAAGCTACTTTCATAGCCTGAGGTGACAGAAGAGCCAGCAGATGCTGCATCCAAGGAATCTGTAGAATATGAAAATTTTGCATCTATATCTGAGAGAGAGACAGTCTCACAGTCCTGTAATTCATCAAGTTCGTGGCTCTCATGTTCATGCTCCAAATCCTCACTGGACCTGGAGAAGCAACACAAATCTCCCAAGTTCTCATGAGTTTGTGACATCTCCTCTGGCTTCTGCAGACTTCCTGTGGTTTTGGGATGCAGAACAATCTCAGCTTCTTCAACAGTTGATTTGAGTTCAACATCATTTACTCCAGAGATTGAGTTCAGGGAGAGCTGTATGAAGCTGAAATTTGAACTAAAACTATCTAAACTATTGTGTGCAACAGCAGAATGAGAAATATCATCTCTGTTTTGATATTCACAGTTGTTATTCACTTCTGTCCCATCCAAAGCATACATATTTGGGGGCTTGCTCACATTTGTACTGTGGCTTTTCTGCCCCGTACAGCATACAGCAGAAACATCTCCTTTGCTTGTTGCAGCAGCAGGGTAAGCTGCTGTCACTGTGTTTTCTGACCCTGGACTCTTGCAACACGATAGATTTTTGCAGCATCCCGGCATATTTCCAATAGTGGTCAACGTTGTTACCCCATCAGCAGGAACTACAACACTACTAACCACACTACAGCGCGGGAATTCAAAGTTATTTTGGCATTGTCTGCATAGAGCGCAGTTCTCAAAGTCTCCACAGCCCTGCCTTCCATGTTGGAGCTCTCCTGGTCTGAATGGTTTGCAGGCACCAAGGGACCGAAACTCTATCTGCTGCTGAGCTTCTGGCCTCATGTATCCAGGTCTTTTTGCCAGTTTCTTTTTACGAAGGGAGCCTGCAGGCATTAATTGCTGGTGATCATCTGGAGGGAGAGAAAAAAAAAGTCAGTGAAATGCTTCTGTAGTTTTATAGGCTTAACAATTGTTTCTGAAATTTCAAGCAGCACTCACGGCTTTCCATTTCAGCAAAACAAAGACAACGACCATTCTGCAGATAGAGAACACTGCATGTATTCATTCACTTTCTAAAGAGTTTGCACCTGGTTTTAAGTGAACCCACTAACACAATCTTGTCCATCAGGACACAAACCTGAGTACAATGAATCACATCATCTTCCCTATTCACAATACCACTCTACTTTTTCATTCTCAACTTGCTTAACAGCACATTAAAGTACAGACTTCAATTATCTCTGATTCAGAATGATTGCAGACTTACAAGCACATCTAAGACAGGACTGAATCTACATCCAAAAAAGTGAGAACCATACTCACAAAGAAATTTTGTTCATAACCTCTTGTTGTTTGTGTCCAGTTTCTTATGTCTATAACCATACTTTAATAGTATGAGTAGCAAGTGGTTCAGATTCTGCTTCCAGAACAGATGCAATTCTGTAGCACCCTGTGGTTGCAGGTATCAGTTTAATGAAATATTGTAGAAGTTGTCATTTAGATTTATGGTACTACCTATTGTGCAAAATGTAGAGTTAAAGGAGAAGCTTTCCATGCAGAGCCATCATCCTAGAAAGCTAACGCTTTGTAGCATTACTGACGTATTAATATCATTAAGGAAGGGCCTTTGCTCAGTAACTATTTCCCCACACATACCTTACTTACATAGATGATTGCTGTTTGCAGAGAATAGAAAACAAACAAACAAAAAACCAACCAAAAAAACCCCAAGATAAAAATCACAGTGAACATTAAAAGCAGGACATCAGAATTGATGTCCTGTCTGTGTTTTCTGTTTATTTCTATATACATTATGGGTGAAAGATTACATGGCAACTACTTTCAGTTTCTCATGGATTTACTGCTAGTTAAAAGGTATTCCATTTGTCTGTCCTGACTACAGTAATGGGAATACAAGCTTTGCACTATCATCCATTTTGTAACACGAAAACATATTGACTGGACCTATTTGCCAGAATCACCCTTCAAGGGGATCTGGTGACTGGCTGAATTATGCCCTCTAATCACTGAAACAGAATCAAATTGCCAGAATCTCGGGTATTAGAAATATTCTTATCCCCCACACAGAGCTCTTCCAAGAACACAAGTTTCGGATTTTTTTTCTTTGCATTTAATATTCATCTCTCATCATGACCCTTTGTCAATTTTTACATTGACAGATGTGCACACAATCTAAACTCTCCAGCAACTCCTAACACAGGTCTCATACACACCTCACTACAATGACATCCCATACAAGAATTTAGCATTAGACCTGAAACTTCCCATGAGAATTTTCCCAACATTCATTACATTCTCTCCAAATAACCTTCAACAAAAGCAATTTATACATTTTCCATATACTAGAATAGTGGCACATCTCACCATGAGACTGCAGTTAAACCTCTGTATTCTGCTTCCTATCACCATAAATTAGAATATCCCAGCTGTCTCTTACATTCTCTTTTGTCTGAGGAAAAAAACATCACAGAAATCAGAAGTAAAAAAGGTCACAGAGTCCATCAGCCCGTCTACTATAAAAAGACAGTGAAATGCTGTACTGGCAGTAATTTAATAGAAGTCTTAACAAACAGGAACCACGCTTGGAGCAAGGGAAAAAAATTTCGAACAAAATGTTCTTTAGAATTTAATTCTTTCAGTTTATATACAAAACAACAGCCTAAATTTGACTTCAGCAGAAGAAATCAGTCACGCAGAAAAAAGTAATTCCAGGACTGCATATACTTCCTCACCATTTAAAAAGGCTAGTCACAGGTCTTGTCTGTAAAAATGTAAAAGGTTCTCTGGTTTAATTAAAATCAGTTTAAAAATGATCTCACTAAATCACTATGAATTTCTAAAGCAGACAGATAATTACAGCTCTTTAAATACCAAATTTAAACTAAGCTAATGTAAATAGGGTTTAAATTGGCCAAAGCACTAGATATTAACACCAAGTGAACTGGATGCAATTCTAAATATTATTGGAGCCAAAGGGGTACAATTCCAGTATCCTCATCAAGTTCACACAAAACCCACACATCTCTGCAGTCCTCACAATATTTGCAGGTAACCCTCTAGGCAGGTTTGGCATTTAGCTCTTTTATGGACTCCAGGTCTGTCTCCCAGTGAGTCCAGCAGCACAAGTCGCTCACCTGGACACCAGAACAGACCACTGTCTGAGTTATCCTCAAGATTATACTCCAAGCCACGATCCATCCAGAGGAGGCAGAGTGGACAGAGCTGGGATCAACATGAACATTCACACCTTTGCCCAAAGGATAAGGGAGGGAGGAGTCGGTGGCCACAGCTTGATCCCCAGCTCCATCTACAGAGCACTCACAATGCTCTCAGACATCACAAAACTCAGCTCGGAAGTTACTATGGCTTTGGGCATAGCAATACTGTTTGGGCACTGTTTACACTTCTGCCATGTCCCTTTTCTCAAGATCAGAATGATTTCAGTTGTTTATCATCACATATCTGAAATATAGTTACAGAGACTTTGTTTCTCTGCATAGCCTTTCAACCATAGCTTGCTGTGTCTGCACATCAGATACAGAAACTACACTGAACCAATTCAGCTATCTTGTTAAATAAAGACAGGTCGCAAATTTGTCTTATAATTCTCTCAATTTCAAGAACATCAAATAACATTTGGCAATTAACTACAAGACTATCAGAATGGAAACAACTGAAGGTAATTTTTAAATCCTACATTATAGTGTGTCGTGCATTATATCAGACGCGCATTTAGAAAAAGAGTAAAGTCCCAAATGGAAGAGCCTTTCGATTGTAATATTACAAATCAACTTCTTTAAAAAAATATATTTTACAATCTTGGAAGATGATGCAACATATATTCTAATGGCAAGTATGTGCAACTTACTTCAAATTATGAAAGCCCAGAAATAATCATAACAGCTCTTTCACTACAGCAATCTTTCCTGATGACCGATATTTCATAAAAGCTAACAGTTCACATCCAGAGCAGAGGGAAAAAGAAAATAGTCTATTGTCATAAAGCAATGTTGTTCACATCTTAGTTCACACCAGTGAGATGAAAGAGGGAGAGGTGAAGCGAGAAAGAGAGGAAGAGCATTTCCCACTGATGAAAAGAGCACATTCTCTTGTAGCCAGTCTGATGCTAAAGAACAGCGATCATCTAATTTATTTTAGATCATCAGTCTCTGTTTTCAGCCACAAAAGCGGCATTTCAGGTTTTTGATCAAAAGCTCTAGTAGCATCTGTGGATAGAAAAGTGTAACACCTTACATTTTTGTTAAGTAGACTAGAATTTTACAGATCAGTACAGAAACTCTGAAGCAATCGCCTCCTCACTCCAGCCTTAAGCATGTAATGCAAAAGGCTTGGAAGCTCATCAAGTCCTTTCTGAAAGTAAGTGAGAAATTATATATGCAGTTTTAAAGATAGCTTGACTATCTGAATACACGTATATTACACACAACTGATTTTTATTAGAATAACAAATTCACCTTCACAGCATTTGTGGGTGGTAACCGTGGTGAGGAAGAAAAGGTATTTAGTCATATTCAAAGCCAACTATCAAAGTACTGCTCCAAGCAATTTCTGTAGTGCTTTTTATGTTAAGGAAGCCTTAAACACCTGCATTAAACTGTACACAAACAAAGTAAGTGAGATGAAAATATTTATTATTTACAAACATACACAAATGTTTAACCTATCAGGAACAGAAAGGAACTATTCTGAAGGATTAATCAATCTGACATGACAATAACTATTACTGTTCAGTTCCTAAGTCATAGAAATACATAAAATGTTGCAGGTTCCTAATCAGTTACAGTTTGACTCATTTGCTGAGTTTCAAAGATACCACTAAATATTCAAAATAAGATGGCACTGATCCCAACATAGCCTCTGTTAAAAGAGGCTCTGTTACAGAAGTCCCAAGCAAAAAAAGCCAGGAAAGCCCAAGACCTTTGCAATAAAAACATTAGTGTAATCCTGTTGCAGACACTCCTCATACTTCTCCTTCTCCAGCTGTTATTACATCTCACTTCCCAAATTCATCTGTGGTTGATGAGCCTCAACCCAAATCACTCTCTAAACCTCCTTACACAACTCACTGATACATTTCAACGAACCCACGGATATCAATCAACCTTGGCCAGCTAGAACTGCCAAACTCACGTAACTCGCTGCCTAACAACAGTTTTCAGGCTCCCAAGTCATCAATTACCCTACACCAAGCTAATCAATCCATCCTGTCAACCATCTGATGGACAACAAAACACCCGGGGGGGACAACACAAGTAGGTCTGGAAAAAAAAGCCAGCACCAGCACTGGGTGCCTTTGGCACAGAAGGCACTTCCCCACAAATATCCAGCCCAATTTTTTCCAAACCTTTAAGTATAATTTTCTTTAACTTCTAGTTAACTAACTGAGAATAATTTATGCACTTTTCAAAGAGGCAGATGGACACAGAAGTTGCAAGCCTACAGAGAATATTCACAATAGAAAAATCAATGCTTATTTCAGGAGTTGGGGGGTGTAGTTATAAGTTTTGTTGTTCTTCATGGAGAAAAAACCTTTTGTTCCCTGTTTCAATGCAAAATTCTGTAGAGGCAGCCCATGCAAACATCTGAAGTGGAGAGAACATCCCGTTCTTTCAGTCAAGATCTGACAACAGCTTTAAATATTATGTAAAAATAGAGGGGCAAGGATATTGCATAGAAACTGAAGTTTGCTTAGGTCATAAATTAATTTGCAAACAACACTTAATGGGTTTGCAGTCATATCATATCCCATAAAAGTATTTCACCAAACATGCGTGAAACTACGAAATTAGTACACAGCAGTTCTTTTCAAGAATGGTCTATTTAACACAACACACTTCTCTTTCATCACTCTGTCTACAGAGTGACAGCA